CACGGATTTGAAAGCCGAAGACACCACAGCGGTGGTGCTGTGGAGCGCTGTTGTAATAAAGCAATTTCAAGGGCAATCACACATTTTCATACATACACATAAGTAAATATGTACTGATACACTTCTTTGTGTGTGTGTTGATTGAAGATTAACATGCGTGCAGTCGCTAAATGTTGACAAATCTGCATGTAGGCTAATCCTTCGACATCAATTGGCATAGCTATGGATGTGTTGTGGTTCACAAAGACACGTGATGGAAATGCACGCGAGATTTTTTGCTGCTCAGTTGGAAAGAAGTTCTTACATATATATTAATGCGTTGATTTGGATCGGTCTGTTTGTATAACAGCTATATCCTATAGTGGTCCGATCAGAATAATATGTTGGGAGGTTGTGGCATTGGCTTGGGCAATAATCTATGCCAAATGCTTTCCAGAATCTGTATCAGTTTGTATGGCAGCTGTATGCTATAGTGGTCTAATATCTGATATTCCGACAAATGAGCAGCTTCTTTGAGTGAAAAGGATGTGTACAAAATTTCAGATCGATATCTCAAAAACTGAGGGACCAGTACGCGTATACGCGAAACGGACATGGCTAAATCGACTCAGCTCATCAAGCTGATCACTAATAACATATACATACTGTGTACATATATTTATTGGAAAACCAACGTTTCCTTCTGGCAAACTTAATATTATATATCCTGTTCAGGATATAACAAATGAGGTATATATTTACTTCAACTTTCCTATCAAAACAAATCTCACACTCGCGATTTCAAAACAAAGATTTTCTGGGACGTAAATTATATTAAGAAATGGAATAAAAACTAAATTAATTTAAGAAATATGCAAAAGCTAAGGACTCTCTTGAGCAGTGCAATGAACTCACAACGCGTGCTGCACTCGTTAATGGGACGAATGATCTGTACTACTAGAATATGTCTGTGCGTGTATATAAAACACGAATACTTAAAAACGTACTGGAAACACATAAATACGAGTATGTAAGTACATAAGCATTTACGCACAAATATCGACGCACACATGACTTGCTTCAGAATGACTTAGCGGCGATGACTAGCGATTACCTGGCGGGCGGGCGCGCACAGCACATCCGGCGAAATAAACGGAAGCAAGTAATATAGCATGAAATAAAATATATAATAAAAAGGTAGTCAGTCAAGTCACTTCGCTGCGGCGTTGGTATGATGACGCGCCGATGTGATGACTCTGATATTATTCGGTAGAGAGCAATTAGACTCGTAAAATTTAAAATACATAAGTAACACACCGAGGCACTAATTTTTATAGGAATTTATGAGCATGTGAAAAACGTGCAGCAACGATCAATGCATTTGACACCAACAAATTAAGTTACGTTCAACCTTTAGGCAACGTGACAGGAATTAATAATAATTTGGAGAGATTGGAAAGGTCTTAACTTTGATGGAAAAGTACAGATGACGTGCGGAATTTTCGGTTAAGTTCTTATCTGAAAATTTCTTTACACATGTGTTTATCCTTTTGTTGATTTCGTGTCGCTCTTTATTCTCAATGTAGATTTGCCTAACAAACATAGACATTTTTTTCTTAGGAAATTTTTTTCAATTCGCAAATATAATATATTGCCAAGAATTTATACAGGCTAAATATTAACAAAATCCACGGAATGATTGGCATGATTTATGTAATTCATCGCATTTTGGTGGAAATTTATTTTGAACATGTTCTAACTGAGCGAACGTGTCAAAAGTGGTTTGCACGATTTAAAAGTGCTGATTTTGGCTTAGAAATGCTACTAGAAGACTACCAGAAAGACGACCAATCAGCCGAATCAACGGCAAAGCCGAATATTCATGAAGCGAAGGTAATGCTCTGTATTACATGGGATCAGAAGGGCGTGCTATATTATGAGCATCTAAAACCAGGTGAAACAATTTATGGAGAAAGCTACTGACTCATCAACAAATTGAAACTAACTAATGCCGAAAAACGCTCAGAATTTACAACTAGACGCAAGACCAGTTAAAAACAGTTTGAGACACAGTCGCTTGGAAGTTTTGAATCGCACCGACCTTGTCCCTTGACTACCAATTGTTCCGGTCGATGCAGATCACTCTCACTTGCGACAAGTTTTTCTTAAATAAATGTTCAAATTTAAAAAAAAAAAATGCACGAAAATAGTTATATACTCAAAAATCTGAGTTAATGGAAATATTGATATCTTTAAACTTTTTCACAAAAACAACTAAATGAAAAATTAATAATCAAAATTTTTATATTTTAAAAACTCTTACTATTACCCACATTCGGTTCCAACAAATCTATATCAGAAGCAAGAGTCTTGGCAGTTTGTGGTGAGAAAATTCTTTGTGGGACACCCAATATATCGGCAAATATGTTTAACTAAATGCATATGTCTGTGTTAGCGCGAAATTCGACCATATGCCGGTAAACAAGGGTCGATTTTAGCTTATCTGCTCTTTGTTATTTTTCCCCATTTGATTAGGGGTGGAATTTTATCACTTGCCAAAATATTTGTGCGTACTGTCAATTGCTTTTTCTCAATGAAAATGCTGTAGCTGGAGTTATAATAGTAACTGCTGCAATTAGAAACACAAATTAAGCTCTTTTAAAGCATTAACATCTTTTTACTGATTTTCAATATGGATACAACAAAAGTCATCCAATCACAAAATCTTGGCACATCACTTTACTAAAAATCCATTGGCATACAAATTTTTGTGCTCGACTCTTTTGTTTTTCTATTTCATTTGCAATTTTCTTTATTTTCATCAAACAAAAGCCGTCTTGGGTAGAATCCACGTTTTACAAAACAAACTCTTCAATGATGCACTGGGGACTATGTGTAGATGTATGTTTGTGCTTTACTTCATCTGTGATAGCAATGTACCTAAGCGAGTTTATTTTTATCCTACTTTCATCACATCCTCCCTCTGTGCTCAAGTGTAGGAAATGAAACGAAACATTGGGTAAATTGAATGTATGCTGTAGCCACTCTCCGGTACATGAGTACTTGTCGACAAACTACGGGAAGCCATAAAGCACACGCCCTAAATTCACACAAAAGATCCTGTTGGTAATTGAACATTGAGTAAAAGCACCAGCAACTTACGGAATACGGAATACATTCAATACAAAGGAACTACGCCAACAGATACATACATGATAGCAGACAATTGCAAAGGTGGACGCACAAGACGGAAGAGATGACGATGATGAGTCGAAACGCCGGTGAAGTAAAATGTCAATACACCGGCACGAGTAATATTAAGTGGAGTGATGATAATGAATACCATTAATTAATATTAATTTATATTAAGGGAAAAATAAATATTAAAATATTTAAAAGAAAATTACATAAAACTAATAATTAATAAACTTCCAATTAAAGCAAAATTTTAAGTTGTTTATATAATAAAATTATGATTTTAAATATTTTAATTAAATTTTTGCATAATTCTGGTTGTGTTTTGCAACTTCATTTTTACATTTTCAGCACAAAACAGCTGATCGTTAAATTTCACTTATACTTGCACTCGCACTTATTTTTATGAGCATTTGGAAGTAGTATTTATAATCAGAAAAATTGTCTAAAAATAATTTTGTTGTTGTTTTGCTTGAAGAATATATCTAAGGAAAATATTGCGTTTGACAACTGCTTTAGGCTGATTTGAAAATTAGTTTTATTTAATCTCAAATCCAATAATTAAACTAAAAGGATTTATTTCCAACAACAATTTACCAATACTTTGAAAATTTCCACATTTCAATCTACTTTCCAAACATCAGCTGAAATTTTGAAGGCGTAAAGATCTGTTTGTTCAATTGGAACATAATTGATACGAAAAGAATAGATCAAATATCAAATGTAACTAACGTCTCGGCTTTTATAGAGAATATGAACACTGTAATCAGAATTTGTTTAAAATATGTCCATTTTCTTACAAAAATTTGTTCATCTATGATTATACATACATATATGTATTTATATGCGCTTCGCGCTACAGTAATTAGCGTTGTATGTAATTGTCATTGCCAATGCAATTGGAGCGTCCATGCTAACAACAAGCAACTGTGCAAAACTAATTAAAAGAAAATCAACACGCAATAAAAACACAATAAAGAAAAACATACAAGAAAACAAGAAATCAGCGCAAACACAATTCAAAAGGAAAAATATATAAGAGCGAAGCAGCAAGTAAAAATTACAGGTAAACAGAATGCTGTTGGACCACTGATTGTGACGTTTTATATGCATATATACATAAAGAGGCGCAAAGATAAATAAATGGCAAATCAAGTTGTCGCATTCCCAACATACACACATACATACATTGTATATATACCATGCATGCAGTGAATACTCATAAATACCCTCAAGCGGCACTTTATTTGGGGCAAAGTATCTTGAAAACGTCAACTGTCAAGTAATTAGACATTAGTTTGCAATGCAGAATTCTATTAACTCATGATTTTCTGATTGTGTTATACATATGCATGTATTATTTTCCTTTGATGAGGACGTGCTTTTCTTCAATCCGCAGAGCTCCACACGATAAGTATGGCAACGCCGTATTGTTATAAACAACTTGCTAAGCAAGCAGCTAATTCACCACCAATGCCAAGGTAAGGAAGCCGGTCGAAAAATGCAAGCACACAAGTATGTGCGTACACACAAACATACACATACACAAAAAAGCCAAAAACAGAAAACTACATGCAAACACCGGAAAGCAGACGCACAAGCCGACAACGAAATCCAAGTAATGCTGAAAAGCTGCAGAAAACTGTATAGTGTTGGGCAGGCATTGGAAATAATTGCAATTTATTATTATGTGTTGATAAATTAGGATTGCAGACAATGATTTGCTTTGTCTTCAACAAAGTCTGCAAAACTTTTCGCTAATGCTATAATTTTTTTTGCAATCAAGCAAAAAATAATAATCAATAATTTTTAAATATAAAACTTACACTTTCAGCTTCAGTTTTTCAAGATATATTTGTTGTTTTTCGCCTTGATTGCTTTTGAGGATTTTCGCGAATACTTTTTGGTCGCCAGTTGAAGCTTTGTTATGTCTCAAAAGTATTGCACACCCACGACAATTGAATTATTGTAAATATTTTAGTTATTTTTAGCTAAACTTTTAAGTATAGCTTTATTTTGTTTTAGTATTTATATGAACACTGCAGTAATTAATTTGCACTAGACGAAATTAAGCAAATCACCAAAAATACAAATTATTACTTTCTTACTTCACCGTTTTCAGGTTTTTTTTTTTGTTTTAACTTTTAACCTTTGTGTGTGTGCGCAAAAATGTTTACACAATTTTTACAAAAATCGGGCGAAAGACAAAATAGTAATATTTCTTTGCACAATGTACCTAATTTTATTTATAAAAAAAAATTAAACAAAATGAGCCAATTTCCAAATAAAATTTTCAAAACACGTCAGACGAAAAAATAGAATGATTATTTAAAGAAATGAAAAATAAATTGCAGTCGAAATATCCTTTATGACAATTTGTTTGATTGTGTGGCCGCGACAAAAGCAAAAAGGGCGGTTTCGCTGGTCCTATTAACGACAAACACCGGTAAAAGGCAATAGCAGCATCACTGCATACATCTGCACCTATGTACATACATACATACAGATATATCACAAACAAGCGCCTTGCCTACCCCACACACCCTTCCCAATTTCTTTTTTTTTTATTTTTATGAGCACACAAAGGATACTCGGCGCACTTGTCAAAATTTTTCTTGTTTATGTTTAAATAAACCTAAATGAATTTGGTAGAACAGGAAAATCCTTCCGATACAAAATGTTATTATTTATGTACATATATTGATAAAACTGATTTTGGCTCATTTTGTATTAATTTTCTTACATAGTTATTTTTTTTAACACAAGATTGCTAGAAACCGCCTGCAATTATCAAATCTCGCACAATTATTTTTACAACTATCGCTCACAACGCGTTGCTAGCTCGAATGAATTGTTCGTACGTCGACGGCTCGAAAGAAACCCATTGCCGACCTGACTGGCCGCAGTGCTGCCATTTTCAAACAATAATAAACGCTTGTAAACACTGGTCGCGAACATGCTTGAGATGCGCTGCATGCCGAAGGTTGCCACAGTGTACCTAATATATACAAAATTCCCAAATTCAATTTGGTTCGATGCTCGATCGGCTTTCGACAGCGCTGAAAAGTAGCGAGTGGGAATTCATTATTATGCGCTGTTATTTGACGTTCTCTGTAAAAACCACTGTTAATGCACAGAAAATGTTTAAATACATTGCATATTCCTTTTGGGCAGAATCTGCCATTCCCAGATCCACAAACGGTTTCATTGATATATTACATTTTGTCTCCCTCTTCTATATTAATACATATAATATTTTGTTTATTAATCTGTTTTTATTTTATAATTATTATTTTTAACAAAATAGCGCGTTTGCAACTTATTTACAATATGGTTAGGCACTTCCACACAGCTGAATATACCATAAACAGGTAATGGTGTTTTTTCAACCCATTTATCATTATCACTATCATATTCCTCGACCGTATACATATCATTTCCGGCCAATGCCCTTATTCGCTTGTTAACTACGATGGCATATATTCCGAAACGTGCGACATTTAACGGTGAAATCTGCAATTTATTTACTAAAAAAATATAAAAATAAGTCAAATCTACGAACATTTTACAAACCTCTCTACAAATATTTAGCTGTGGATCGAAGCATTCTGCAGTAGCTAGGTAGCCTTCATTATAACCACCAATAATGTATATCAAACCATCTAATGCAGCAACCTACAATACATAACCTCAAACTCATGTAACAGTGTACTATTTTTTTGCAACTTACGCCCGTCCAACCACGTGCTCCGCGCATATCACAGCAACTTATCCAAGTATTTGATAACGGATCATAGCATTCTACTGAACTTAGTGGCTTACAGTCTATGCTCAAACCACCGAATATGAAAATTTTGCCATCGTAAACAGTAGCGCCTGCGCCATATCTGCGATAGGCCATAGAGGGCAGTAATTGCCATTGGTTTGTGTCTATATCGTACCTAAATCAAAATATCCGGATTTTTTTATACTTTCTTAGGTTGTTTTTACTTTCTGAGGTTATGCACTTACATTTCCGCTGTATCAAAGGGATCATCGCCATCGTGTCCGCCGAAAACATAAATCTTCCCTCTTAGCATCACCGCGGACAAATCATCACGACGCTGTGACATCTCCGACATTTTCTGCCACTTAAAAGTTTGCAAATCAAGACGTTTAATAGTGTTATTCCGCTGAACGCCTCGAGAACGCCCGCCAACGAATAGCAGACAGTTTTTGTGATAAAACACAGCATAACTGTAATCGATAAATTTAAATTCAGAGCACTTCTGCCATTTGTTGAGTGACATGTTGTATCGAAGGATGGGTTTAAGTTTCTGCAACATCAGTTGGATATAATATTAGATATTTACAAATATCAATGAACGGTATAAAAAGTAGGCTACTTAATTATTTATACGCACTTTCACGTCGTTCAAAATCAGCACCCGGCATTTCCACTCATTTCGCGCTTTCAAATAGTCGGGTATTGGCCGCCTATCCGTAACGGTCGATTCGCCCAGCAATGACAATGTTTCGAATGCTACTTGGTCACCATTAAGCAAAGGTTTTATGTATTTTATTATGAATGCGGCATCAAATTGATCGAGTTTCAGTGCGGGTATTAGCAGGGAAAGATATTTTCTGCGATTTTCTTGATCATGCTCGTACCATCGCATAAGCGCATGAAAGACATCCACTTCACAATCGATATTCAGTTCATCGGCGCTTAGAATGCGTTGTAGTGTTTCCGATGAGTAGTCAAGGAACTCTGGGCTATTGATTAACTGTTAATAGAAATTGAATTATGCGATCAGTTAGTATATTACTATTCATGTTTTTATATATGTGCATATATGGCTGGTTAACTAGATCCAAGGTCTATTATAGAAGATTTGAAAATTGTAATAATTAGTAGCTGGTATTTATTGTTAAGAGCCAGAAATATTTGTATGCATTTCTCAATGTTGATATTTTCCTGGATAAATACGTGGTTTAATGTATACTAGATGTTTCAGAAAACAAAAAGCTCCAAAATTATTATTATATTACTACTACCACACAAACCGATTGATCGAAATTTAGTTCTTGTATGGAAAACTAATTTAATTTTAAAAATTATGAGTAATAATGAACCGAACATAGCCGTAAAATACGAAAACAGAGAATTTCCAGAAAAGGCCTGTACAGATACTTGCCCTTGTAAAGCAAATAACAATATTTCTGGAAAAAAATAATCGACTGCCAGATGGTCAATCGCAATAATTTGTCGATAACAGTCGCACATACTCAGACAATCTTATCTCATATCAATTTATTTACCCAAATAAAGTAAAACACTTTTTATAAACGTTTAAAGAACTTCCCTTACAGCTAACTCTTCATTAATTATTAAGCTTACCTGGGCAAAGTTTTGTATCGCAAAGCTTATAGTTTGATCTTTTAACAACCCAATCGATGACGCCATATTTGGTGGATAAACTTCTCACTTTATGACTCCCAGGTTTACATTTACGATTGAGACGCCAGCAAACGACTAAAAGCTCGTTGCGCACTAAACTATTATTTATGTTATATGTATGAACATATGTATGTATGTAATGGTATTCGGGAAACGGAAAAGTACCAAAGTAATATTTCACAATAAATGAAATTAAAAAATTGATTACTCAAAATTATTATCCATACACTTCTGTAATAATGGTTTTTATTTGGTTTGTAGTAAAATAGTTTATTTTGATTCAAAAATATAAATTAAAGTATTTCTTATTTATTATAATTATTATAGCTATTTATAATTAATTATTAGAACTTAAGCGTGAAACAAGAAATCGTATATGCTATCGATATTTATCGGTCTTACAGTAAAACAAGTTCTTTATAGACTTAATGCAAATCCATAAATCACCAGATTTAATAATAAAAACTAATCTTACAATTTACCGTATAAACTTTCTACATAATTCTCGTTACAAAGTCTAGAGTTTAGGATATCGAGTTAAAATCAAATAGCTTAAATTAATAATTTCTTAAATAAACTTAATAAAGAATTACTTATAATTAAAAATGTTACTGCTTTCGACTCAAATAGTCCATAATTGCTTTAGTGAGTTTCTTATTGTCGTCCCGTAAATCCTTCAAAACTTCCAACTTCTCCCTTTCTACTTTGACCATTTCTCTCATGAGCTGGTTTTTCTCGTCGGCTGATGCCTTCAAGCATTCGCAAATTGCAATTATTTTTTCTGAGTTTTGTCTTTTCGAAGCGCGCACATTTGTCGATGTCGGCAATTCTGTGCTATATGGCTGGTGCGATGTAAATGCGTTGGAATCGAAGGAAGGCGAGAACAAAGGCGCCGCCAGCGGAGTCAAAAAAGCTTCTAAGTTAACTGGAACTATGGTAAATAAATGAAATTAAAATAATTGGATAGTTTAGTTTAGCTGAAGCGTTTTTGAATAGTCAAATATGTATGTATGTACCTTTGCGCTCAATGCTCCCCTCAGAAGCATCATCGGTGGTGTTGAGAGATTTACGGCTAATTATTCTGTGCAACTGTTCATATAAAGGCCACACCACCGGCGCACTATCGGTTGACGCTAACGCGACGCTGCATTTTCTGAAAATAAATAAAACAGAATTTTTCCATATTTGTTCTTTTCGTTGCTTCCCTTTTAGCGTTCATGTACCTGTACTTAGCGGTCAAGTTGGATATTTTGTATTTAATATCGGGCACAGACAGTTCAATACCGTGTTTGGCCAAATTGGCGGACATCTCTTGGTAAACATGAGTATTTTTCTTCTCACTGAGCAATTGGTCAAGCTGTTGCTCCCATAAATCGACAAAGTAAGCTTCTGATGCATCGTTCCAGAAAGTCCTCTTTCTTCTTTCTTTTACAGCAGTTTCCATAATATTTTGTACCGCTAAGATTTGCCCTGCAATTTACAATTTATTTGTTTTTATTTGTGCAACAGTGTGGCCAAACTTTGGGTATAGGGTTGCATAAACACCATAATAAATGTGGTGTTTAAGGTGAGTTTATTGATGCTTAAGCTGGAACTACATAACTTGGGTAAGCGCAAGCGTCAGTTTAACAGATGAGTTGAGTACACATGTTCTTTGAGGATGAACTCCATGTCTAGGATTGGAATATGCATAGAAGTTGTATCGTGCACCACTTAGGAATGTCAACGCTACTAAACGTATTATCAAGCTTGCCCTTTCGCTTACGCATGTGGTTAATTCCATATTTATGGGTAGCATTTTACAAGAAACACCAAAAACTTCTGATAAAATAGATTTTAATCGTTAACATACATTTTTTTTTTTATTCTGGTACAATAAATAAGCAGAAGCCCCATTAATATTTTTGTAAAAGCGTCAGTTTATTTAGTGATGAATCGCTGCAATAAATCCTGACTATACAACGCATTAAAGAAGATGGCAATAAAATCTAAATGATTTATTTACAAAACGGCATTTTCAAAGTGGAAAAAAATCGGAAAAGTAGATATGGATGTCTATGCATAAAAATCAAGTAGAAATCAGTAAACTTACCCACTAATTAAAATGCATTTAGTTAATAATATCTAAACTTATATACTCACATAGTGTATATATGCGTTCGTACGTTTGGCATACATGCATTTAACTGAACTAAAGTAGCATGTACCATGTAGTCCATGGCGTGTGTCCAACCAACCAATTACTTTAAAAAACTAACAACACTTTGGAAATCGTTAAAGTAGCAGCATTTTTCGCAAATAAGAGTGCATTAAAAGGCAATAACAATTAAAACAACGCATGCTCTGTTAATTTTCGCGAGACAATAACACAAAAAGAAATAAATAGCTGAGTTAAAGAAAATTCAATAGCATGGGCTTAGCATGTCCAATCTGTTGCACGCCAAATGCATTGCGTTTATATTATTGTATTTAGGAGGCGTAGATTTTTGTGTTTTGCAGTTGCTGTCAAATTGGACCCTGATGGGAAAGAGAGTGTAAAGGATGCTTTAATAAATGGACGTAAAGAAGATCGACTGGTGTAGGAGAAATTTTCATGACATACGATTACCCAACTGTGTTATAGGTATATTTGGCACTGTGGTTGTAAATTACTACACGCAATTCCACAAAACAAGTAATGCTTCCTTAAATATTAAATACTCAACCACATATTCCACATCGTAACATATTAGATAATATACGCACTAAATTTCGTAAATTTCTGAATTGCTTTCCAGCTCCTTTTTTCAGAAGCATGATAGTTTATACAAATCTTCCCAGAAAATAAAAAACACCAAAAAAAATGTACAGGCGCAAAAATTACAATTATTAGTAATTGTCATGTCATAAAAAATCAGCTGTAGTAGTGCTACCAGTGCGATACTTAGTAGTGCAAAAATCGAAAGTGAAACAACTTAAATAATATACTTTGATATATCATAACCGCCATTCTGTATTTTTTTCCTTTAAGAAAAGACTTTTTAATTTATAAATATTCAATGTATAAACGTAATACTTATAAGTTATTACTATCTCTGTTTTCCTCTAAAATCTCTCAAAACTAATGTACGCCAAACAAGTGGTAACGCTCGCGGAAACAGCTGTCGGCGGTACACAGCTGTCAGAGAAAATTCTGAAGGGTTGAAAAAGAACAAAAAATAGTAATTCATTTTATTCTTAAAAGTCGAAAAAAGTGCACAAATCGTTAAAGCACGTTCGAAAATCGCAGCGCAGTGTGGATAGAAAATAAAACTCATTAGATAGTGATTCTAATTTTGATAAATGTATAGTGTTTGTATATAACGGATGTATATATAATTTGTAACCGTATGCAAATCAGATAAATTGTTTTGTGATGAGTGATTAGAATAAATCAAATTAAGCGCAATATTCACCTATGGGCGATTTGCTGTACGCTCGGCTACCAAAGACGATTGCCTGGGCGAACGCTAGCAGCTAGCAAGGATGTGATATGAAAAAAGGGAAAAAGCGATAATGCAATCAAAAATGAATGAGCTATAATAATTTTTTAATAAATATAATAAAAACCGCATATTGATCAAAACCATAACAATTGTGTAGAAAAACTTTTGTATAAATTGTTAAGGATTTGCGAGTTAAAATTAAGTGTAACACATATGTATTAACATTTTGATAAGCAACAACGTCATAATTATAAATTGGTGCTTGTGACCTTCTGTTCTCCCAGCTGGAAATATAAAGCACGCCATAGTGTTTTACTTCCTTGAGTTGGATGGGAAAGACGGATGTATACAAATCCAACGTGCCCACGCCCATGATAATTATTTAGTTTTGCGTTTTTCCAAAAGTGATTTTGCAATTTATAATTTACTCTTAATTGTAAATGTTTGTGCTTATATAAATGTACTAATGGTTTAAGAATTGAACTTTTTTTTTTGAAAATCGATGCAATGGATTTAGTTAACTTAATTAGATCATCGTACGATGATTGCGGATTAATGTTTTCCGACTCATGGTACAAGGTACTAAAAATGGAAATCAAAATTACGGTAAGTGGCATAAATCACAACATACACAAGCATATATTTTGTTGCAATACAATGTTTTACGACTCTTTGGGGAATCATTTCCGTTGTAGTTGTTGTTGTTTTTTTGTTATTCATTATAAAACAATCGCTGCTGTGTCACCCCGCTGTTATCGGTGACAATCAAAAGCCCTGTGTTGTTATTGTTTGCTTATCAAAAATGTTTTTATTTTTTTCTTGTGGCTAGCCGTTAGATATTTTTTGTTTGTTTTCATTTAAGTCTTCACACATGTGTTACTGTGTGACCTACCAGAATTTTCGTACTCGTTATATATTTATTTTGAGTAAAAGTATTGTCCATTAAAGTTTGTATTGAACTTTGAACGATTGAGATTTACTACAGAATTTTGCTTTTAATAGTTTAATCGAAAAATGAGGAAAATTGGGATATCTGGCTATGTTGTATAATTTTTTTTTGTGCAGAAATAATTTCTTTATATAAAAAAGTTTATTTGGTTGAAAAATTACTGTTTTATAGTCGCAAAGTAGGCCGTAGTTACATTGAGTAAGATTGAACACATTTCCTACATAACATAACAAATACTTTATTATGTATTGTACATATGTACCTTATGTACACTCCTATTCTAAACAATGAGTTTTTCTGGAATTCTGAGAGAAAAATGACTACAATTTCAAGTGAACGCCCTAATCATGTCAATAATTACACAAAATTTACATGTTAAGTGTTCTTTATCTTCTTTAAGCATACACATTTACATATACATATATATACACAAACATGGACTATGGACTAATGCATTATTAGCGATGTCAGAGCCATACATGTGTTATCATAAAATTTAAAATGTTTCAGTTTTTCAATTAGGAACTTACATTGTATGTATGCTTGCTCGCACTCCCATATTTCTATACTGATGTATTTGCTGAGTAATTGTTTCCAAGTCAATATGAGCTTATGATCATGTGTAAACATTTTAAGTGTTCATGAAATATCAATTAACAGGAGTATAATTCCCGTCCAGCACACGGTTTCCGGTCACTCACGTATTTACATATTATATTCGCATATTAACTTAGACCTTATGATACCCGAATAATTGCATAACCACACTAGAAAAATGCTTATACATATACAGTTATACAGGAATTTGAGAACTGCATTGATTTTAAAGAAAATTTTAATGCCAAAACCGAATTAGATTGTAGAATAATGCACATGTGACCAAGGCTTCGTATTGGCGACACACACATGTCGGTCGAACTTCTTATCACTGCTACAATATATAATTACAAGTTTCGATTTGCTTCGGACATGTGCATATATGTATGTATATATGTACATTAAATTTATATGTGTGTTGTTTTAATATACATATACAAATTTCTAATCCATTTTTTCCAATACTCTAACGCCAATCATAATTCTTATGAATAGCTTGAGCAGTCTGCTTGAGTAGTCTAAAGGCATATGCACACAAAAACTACAAGTATATTATGCATTTGAAGAGTGTATGTATGCATGTAAATATTTCAAAAAGAAACAGTGAAGTTATACAATTCTATTTATAAAACTGGAATTATATTTTCCCTTTAATTGGGAAATTCGATGAGTAAATTTTTCAACCAAAAGTTACCGCCAATGAATGTATATATTTATGTATGACATTTGTACCTCGCCAATCATTTAATTGACCCCAAAGGCCAGAGTAGTTATATTTAATTTTATATGCTTTGTAGTTATTGGCGAAAAGTTAAAAGGTAAATTTGGCGAATTTTAATTTAGATTTTCTATAAGCAAATCACATACATTTCTATGCCCTCTATTGTTACTAATTTGCCATTAATTTCATGTAAATGCATTTTGTGTGAACTTGTAGTGAACACACATATGAACAAAAATATAAATCTAATTTGTATTCTTCAACGAAATTTAATTACTTTCACATAAAAGTGCATTTTTAGAATGGAAATTGGAAAAATTTACAAGCATATATGTACATACATTCACATATATATTTAATCATTAAGGGACACACCTAATGTGAAATTTAAACAACATCGATTTTTTTTGTATATCGATAGATCATACCTTTAAAAATAACATACTACTGCTCATACTACTACTTCGAATTTGGAGCAGTGATCGCTCGGAGACAAATGATCACTATCATATTTTTCCTGCAGATTCAATACATAGTTCTCCATTTAATGACCTACCAGTTTTTATTTGATTAAAAATCGAATTTTTGGCAGACCAAAGTCGACTAAAATTTTGGGTAAAATTTACTTTATTTTCTAGAGAGAATTAAAAAAAAATTAACTTTTTTCTTCAAATTTTACTGTGTGTTCTTAAAATGTGTATAAATATGTACATATAATCTTAAAGTTTTAAAACAATTGTATAGTAGTTATTTTTTTTTATAATTTCCAAAAATCGCGTTTTTACCAGGTGTGTTCCTCAAAATTCGATTTATGTCATATAGGTATTCCGAGCGGTATGTTCTCGGAGATGTGCTCCAAAAGTAAAGCGACCTTACCTTAATTAATATCCAAAGTATGGTATTTATGCAAACTGATATTTATTAATACTTATGTCGTTTCCTTCGAATTAGTTTCTCTCAGTTATATATTATTATTATTTGAGCTGTTGCACCTTTGAACTCCCAATCAGTTTAGGTGATGGGTTTTCTGATTGGAAGTGAGCACTTATACAAAGGAGTCACAACTTCAAATTTTCCAAATATTTTTTTTTGTTCATATAACAATTCGTAATACAGGTATACTTATCTATGCAAAAATTTTTATTGTCATCATTATCTCACTTAACTAGAAAATCACCGTTAAGTCTACTTTTGTGTTAATTGTGTGATTTGCCTCGCTTGTGCAATATCAACCAAAGAGTACTGTTTGTAGTTGTGTTGCTATTGTTATATATATAAATAAAACTTAATTTTCTGCTGTATTCTGCGAAGTTGTGTTTATTTTTTTGAAAAAAAGTGAGTTTAATCATTTGTATTATTTGAAATGTGTTTGTAATATTAGAGGACAACGCTCTTTAACGAAGATATTCCACATTATAGACGACGATTTGACTCTCAAATTTCTTTAATTTTTACAAGATCTGTATTTTGCTCCTCCTGAATATTTACCATTTTTCGAGTTGTGACTTTTGTATTTAGTGTGCGATATGTATTTATATCGCCCGCTATAAAACATTTACAAAAACGAATCGAACATATGTACATACCAACAGTAACTTATCTAACTAATTTTGTGATCCTTTGACGTTTTCTTGAATTGGTAGGCGTGTAGAGCGAAGTTTTGCGATATTGAAAGGGAAGAGCTTACAAATTTTTAAATATGTTTCTACTCCATGCTTAATTGTATGTTGACTATCGATTTATTGTGTGTTGATATCAATTGAAAACTTATCAATATTTAAACCCCGAATAGGGTGTAGTACGTTTGCCACGAAGTTTGTTACACCCAGAAGAAAGCGTCGGAGACCGCATATATATAAAAGATCTGCTTGACGGGCTGAGTCAATTTATTCATGTCCGTCTTTATATACGCAAACTCATTTCTTAGTTTTTGATACATCGATCTGAAAATTTGCACACGTGCTTTTATTCCATGCTGAGCTGCTTATTTGTTGGAAACGACGATATCGGACCACTATAGCTGTTATAAAAACTGAACGTTAAAAAACAAGTCCTTGTATGAAAAACTTTTTTACTTAAGGTGATATCTTCACAAAATTTGGCTTATACTATTGTTGAAGCACAATAGCATACATATAGCTGCACT